GAAACTTCGAATAAAGCAGGTTTATTTTGGATGTGAGTTTGATAACACATTTAGCTAAGAGAATATCAGCTGTTGACATCCTCTTGACATAGCACAATATTTTTATCAGAGAAGGTTTCAGAAGTATCTCAACAATTTAAACCGTAAATGCACACAGCTATTGAGAAGTCATTCCAGTATCGAAAAGTTTAATTGGAACAAATAACCTATTCCTTAAGACAACGAGAGGAACGGGAGGGGGGGGGGGAAGTGGGGGAAGGGAATGTGGGGGAATGGAAAGGGATGTTCGTAAAAATTATGAAATAAATGAATTATACAAGAGAAGGGGGGTGGGATAGAGAGGAGCTGGATGCCTTCCCACTGAGTTAAGTTACTTGGTTATTCACTACTTCTTCTAAAAATTTGGTCGAAACTTTCTGAGAGTGGAAGTGACTCCAAGAGGGAACTTAAATGCAACTCAACGGGCTTGAAATAAATTTCAACGCTCGAATGTTTGATTATACTCGCTCAGTTAATCCTTCCAAATAGCTGCCTCGTTTCCTCCGGGTTCCAAAAATAATTATTGTTACGTATAAAGGTTAAGGTTACTTACCTTTATTTTCCCGCTGTCTGTATTCGATTCTGCCCTCCACACACACTGTTTCCAGTTGGCCAGTTGTCTTGAGTCAATGTTTGCTGCATCTCCTTTTTGTCCCTTTGTTCCACTGATCCCTCTTTCTCCTTTGAATCCTTTGGAGCCCCTGGGGCCAATGTTCCCTGGGATTCCCGTACCATTAACTCCTTTCTCTTCCATCTGCCCTTTGGGACCCTCAGGGCCTCTCGGACCAATTTTCCCAGGGATCCCTGCTACTCCTTGGGCACCCCGCTTTCCGGGGCTACCTCTCTCTCCTTTAGTGCCGTCCCTACCGGGAAAACCTGGGTTTCCCGGCATGCCTGGAACGCCGTTTGATCCAGGTATTCCAACCAATTGGCAAGACTGACATGCCTGTTGAGTTAAAAATACAGTATAAAACTTTTTAGACCTTCCTTCCCGCACTTTCTCGCGAAGCTAGAAAAAGCTAAAGCTTGACGCTAACAGTAGACCTCGAGGGAAAAAAAAGAGACAGAGAGAGAGAGAGAGAATATGTTAACAGACTATATTCATGCTTTAGAATGCGTCTTCTTCAAATTATCTAGGAGCGATACCGACTTTTCTGGACTTAAAATTATCCAATGTAATATTAACGGGGATTTCGTACCCTCGTGAATCGTTTCATGTGTTTGAGAAAGCATGTTTTTGCGCGAGGTTAAAATAAACAAACTTATCGACCGGAGCGTTGAGGGAAACCTAAATTTTCTTAGATGTTTTACGAGGAAATGCATTGCAGCTTGGGGAGAGTTACGGCTCAGATCTTGGAAATTCAAGGCTTAGTGGGTGTAAGAAGGACTGCAAGGCTTGGGTCTGAAAGTTGTTCACTAGTATGTCACATTACTAATTCACCATTATCGTAACATACAACTTTTTATGAAAAACAAAATCATATTATCTGAGGATGCTTATGAATACCAATTAACAACTGACTGATACCGAACATTTCAATTAGATAGTGTAGTTAGATCCATAGAATACTTGTTTAAATAGTCTGAATGTTTTGCAACTAACATTTTTTGGACTAACCTTGCAGCTTGATGCTGAAGCATTTCCTTGATCTCCGTTGGCGTGAGCTGCTGAGTACAGGGAAACGAATATAATAAAGTGAGGCAAAACACCTTGCATGATCTTTTGAGTAGCGAGCCGCTAAAGCTTTGGGGATTATCTCTCTTTCCAAGGTATTTCTGGTACTGTCTGATGATGCTCGACAAGGGGAGGTTCTCAACCCTTATTTGAGCATTCCCTCCAACTCGTCTGTGTACATATCAGGAACATCGTTCGGTTGGTGTGCACCTGGAATTGATTGACATTTCATCAGTGTCAGCGTTGTTTAAGAGATCAGCTGACGCGTGCGAAAATCTAATCTTTCTGTATCGCCATATAAGGCTTTTTAAGTTCAAATCAGCGACAGCTGGAAGATACCTGTATACTTGCCTGTAGAGCACCAAACATCACAGGATGTTTCAAAAGGACTAATATTCAAGCTCTTTTGAGGAGCAAAATACCGTTGTCTCACTTCACTGATCCGGTTTTACTCGATAGTTTAAATCCAGTTTGAGAGAAAACAGTTGTTATTTGGAGTCAACTTGGACCAATTCACTTTCGCGCTTGCTTTAGTTTCAGCAGAGCTTCAGCGCGCTTTAGGTTCAACCACAAGTCATACATTTGAAGAAAACAGCGAAACTAAAATGTGACTTAACAATAAAGCTAACGGATAATATTGCGTGCCAGGACCATGCAACTTTGAATCTACTGCTACTTCATTTACCATCTTCCTTGTTCTATTAACTCACAGGACGCTTTTTACGAATCCTAATGCAAATCCTAGCAGTATGAAGATTCTAGTCAGCTCTGTAGTAGAGCCTCGTGGCGCGGGAAGCGAAAGCCTGGATTCCGGTTCACGTTGGATTCGTTCGTTCTTTTAATTCATTACCAAGCCCTCTTTCTTATTCTAATCATTTCCTGTTTTTTTTTAAAGTAACGTCGCGAGGTATGACGTCAGAACTTTTTGGCCGTGTTACGGCTATCGGTTAACCCCATTGATATCCTCTCTCGAGAGCTCATCGTATCTTTGAAAGCTAACTCTTTGAAACTGGTTTCCAGTGATCTTGTCACAGTAACCTTGTCTTTCCCGGTGTTAATCTCGTCTTAAGTTTAAGTTGTTTTGCCTGGTGTTGAGTTTGAATTCGTGGGTTAGCCCTAATCCTGACATAACATTTTCTTTGTTTCAGCACTCTTTGTAGGCCGGCTAACTACTTTTAGACTTGGAGAAGTTTAAAATCTCCCTCTCGTGCAACTGCTGCACGAGCGCTGTGACTTATCATGAGTAGTGGCTTTCATGGCCATGATTTCAAGCGTGCATAAGCCATGTTACAGATTATCACGCTAGAGTATTTGGTAGGTCACGTAGGGTTTTTTCGATGAGAGAAAGAAAACAATATATTAAGTTCTTCAATCCTCGAACGGTTTTTATTAATATTAGGCAAATCCAAAAATGACCAGCGGGACGCATACTCTTCCCTAACGGAGAGCGCCCAACACATCATAAACGTTTACCAGTGTTGCAATAGAATGAGTGCATAATGAGCAAAAGAATTATGAAGAGATGAGACGAAAGAATGGCTTCAGTCTGGTGCGTTGTATCGCTTAACCCTTAATGAGAAAATATAGTATTTTTGAGAACAAATAATAAGCAAAATAAAGAACGAGCAAAACAAAGAAAATATTATGTCAAAGTCTGTTCTCTGAAGGGGTCTTCTTATTAATAATAATAATAATAATAATAATAATAATGATAATGATAAGAACAATATTAATAACAATAATAATAACAACAATAATAAAACCAATAAAGCCGACAACAGCAAGTCTATGATCCAGATATATCATGTCACCGATTATTAAAACTCTCAGTTTTCAGAACTATGCGCTCAGGAAACTGTGTTTTCAGATTTTGATAATGTCCACAAGGCAAAAGATTCTGCAGACCCGCTCCTCTTGTTTCATTTTCTTGCCAAATGCAGACTGTTTTCGATATGTCCTGTGGTCAATATGAAGTTATTGTTTGTGATAACCGAGGAAAGTCAAGGCTTCTTTCCCACAAAGGTATCAGTTAAAACGGAGTGGTCATTCCTGTCATGATCAGCTTCATTGTGAAGATCTGTCTCACATCTGAAGTGTGAGCTTTCCTCTTTTTGAAGAAAGATATTCCCAAAAATATGAACCTGCATAATCCAGTCAAAAGCAATTGCTCAGGCAAAAACCAGTGAATAGTGATTCAAGGCGTAACAACTTTAATTTTGCTGAACAAAAGCAAATGCACTCATTTATCTGCCAGAAAATCCCAGCATATGACCATTCAATGAGAGGTTTTTCAAGCTGTTAAATTTTTCTTTTATTATTTTGCATTTTTCTTATTGCTTAAACAATAGCATTTACAGGAAACAAAATGATATTGTGTAAAGTGTCCGAAGAAAGAAAAAAAAGGGAAAAAAACTGTAGTTCTGTATCTCTTCCATTTGTCACTATTAAGATCCCTCCTTTGTGGCCTCCTACTTTTCTTCAAGAGTGGTTCTTGGACATCTACTGGGTGGCTCCTCCTTAGCATGTCTGGAGTACGAACAACATTTGCGCTCACGGCAACTGTCCTCTGAAGCTTTTTCCTCTGTTTCTTTAGATTGATCCCCAAGATTTAATGCCTCAAGACCTTTAGCAACAGCAATATTTTCCTAAATATATTGGATAATCAAAGTTTTAATGACTATTGTACATCAGTAGGAAGAAGTCACTTTCATAGAGAGCACTTACAAGACAAAAAGCATATCCTGTCACACCCCCCCCAAACTTTCCCCTACCCTGACAGTGGCAGAGCCAAGGGGGGGACACGGGGGGCCTGTGGCCCCCCCCCCATTTTAGGTGGACCAAAAATTAATATCAGTGCTGAACTGATTTTTTCAAAATCAAAACTAACTCTCACTCTAAGAAAGGTTCTAAAAAATATCAGACAACTTTCAAGATGTAACTGGCATCAGTTGTAGCCCAAACCTTTGTTGTAAATGACAAATAGGCCATTGAGCTGTGGGTGCAGTGAATTGGAGGCTGCCAATTATGAACTATGCATTTTCATGCCTCCAGACCCCCCCCTAGAAAGCTCATGGTGCCCCCCCCCCCTTTGACAATCTTAGATCCACCCCTGCCTAACAAACCCACACCC